CCGCCGCCGCCGCCTCCGGTCCCCGCGACAGCCGCCTGCAAAATGGCGCCGCGGAGGGGCGGGCCGGGGGCGGGCGCGGGAGGAGGCCCTCCCCGGCCCTCCCCGTCCCGGCAGGTTGGAGCGGGGACCCGCGGCCTCCCGGGACGCAGGGAGGGGGCCGCGCCGAGAGCGAGGGAGGGGCCGCGCCGCCGTCCAGAGCCATTGGAGGACGCGGCCGCCCGGAGCTGATAAATAGGGGACCGCGTCGCGGCTGCCGGCCAAGTTGGACGCCCCGACCCGTGCGAGGGCCAGGTCAGCGCCGGCCCCGCGACGCGAAGCCAGGCGACCCGCGTGCGGCGATGGCCTCGCTGCTGGGAGCCTACCCGTGGCCCGAGGGGCTCGAGTGTCCAGCCCTGGAGGCCGAGCTGTCGGACGGTCTGTCGCCGCCGGCCGTCCCCCGCCCCCCGGGGGACAAGGGCTCGGAGAGCCGCATCCGGCGGCCCATGAACGCGTTCATGGTGTGGGCCAAGGACGAGAGGAAACGGCTGGCGGTGCAGAACCCGGACCTGCACAACGCCGAGCTCAGCAAGATGCTGGGTGAGCGAGCGGGCGGCCGCGCGGGGGGCGCGGGGCGAGCGGGCGCTGTGTGCCCGCGTGGCTGCGCATCCGTGCGAGCTGGGTGCGCGCGGGGTCCGGGATTCGGAGCGGGGACACCTTGGTGAGGCCCGAAGGGAAACCGCGCGGCCGGCCGGGGCTGCCAGGGAGGTCCCTGCCCTGGGACAGGAGACCGGGTCAGGGCGGGACCTGGCAGCCGGACGCCTGGCGACGGGGACCCGCGCTTGGACACGGCCGGGACGGAAACGTCGAGGCTGGGTGGAACCGGCGTTGGCTAGGAATACCGAAGCAGGAAAACCCGTCATTCCCTAAACTTTGCAACTGGAACAACCACAGAGGGGGGTTGTCACCGATGAAACTATACTTAACGAATATTTGTGAAAAGAGGCCTTGCGAGAATGAATCTCCACTTTAACTTAATTAGTAAAACAACGGCAAAAACTTTTCTGCAATAGACGCGATTCGTTAATCCATTTCTCAATCGCAGGAGTATAGATAATTCGATTAGGGTGCTTGGGGCGGCCGGTGAGAGTCTGTCCTGGAGTCCGGCCGCTTCCTGCGCTGACCGGGCCTGGGCTGGGGACAGGGACCCTCCAGGCAGAAGGAGCCCAGAGAGTGAGGATGTTAGGAAGAAAAGCCGGAGCTCTTGTTGGGTTTCTTTCCTCTCGGATGTCTGAAGCTGAGCGCTTTTCGGCCTGGCCTTAGCCCAGCCTCACCCCAGCCTCTTTGTCCTTGCAGTCAGTTTTTATTCATTTTAACTGGTGAAAACCTTTCCAAGCACTTGGTGCGGGCAGCGGGCGCCGGGCCCTGTGAGAAGGGACGTGCGTGGTCTCCCAAGGCAGGCCCTGCCCTCGGCAACCCCACCCGCTGAGAACGGAGCCCTTCCTTTTCCGTGGGAGGTCAGGGCTCCTTCCCGGGCGGAACCCTGGAGCGAGGCTGCGGTCCCAATGCTGGCTGAAGCCGCAGAGACCAGACCTGCAGTGCCTTAGACGCCCAGGCAGAGCAGCCGCTGGAGGGCTGGCTTCAAAGGGCCCCTCACCCGGGGCCCAGCCTCGTGGCCAGCTGTGCTAAGGATGCGTTAGTGGGGCCGTGCCTTCCTGGGCCCCTTCCACTATTAAAAAA